TATATAGGTGTAGTAGTACCTCTTCGGGCTCTTGGATACCTTTTTCTTGCTACGTGTGCGTGTTCTTTAGATCCTCAGATGGCTCTAGCACTTTCGTGACCACGGGCTGAGAGTCTTTGCTAGATTTTGGCATTTAGCAACTGGCATACGGTTTAATGTGAAGTCAACAACAACAACAAACAATCTACATCCATCCATCCATCTATCCGTCTACAAATCCTACCAAGACACTACAAAGTTCGCAAAAAGCAAAAACGTTTGTTGTATAGTCTCGACTATGTTTCATGTTTCGCGGATGCCCACTTGGCAGGTAAAACGCAGCTGAGCATGATGACATGAATCCTCTACTACTCTCACAGTTATTTCCGATCAAACAACACCCATCCATCCCCAAACATTCGTTCAGCGTGAAGAAGATCATTTGCGCAGAAAGTACGCCAGTATTGTTCCTATTGCTTCTCTTTAGAAACTTCGCACCAGCTATACAGTAAATCCCTTCCGAAAGAACAACGTGCCCCCTTGCTCTGGGAGATCCGCCCCCCTGATTTCAGAAGGGGTTGGAGTCAGAACCACAGACCAAAAGAACAACATTCAATATTCGCCCAGTCGACACCCGAGAAAAACAATCCTCCTGCAAATAAATCCCGACGAAACACCAAAACCAAAAATCAAATCCAATGCCGAAACAACGTTCGCAAATCCTAATGCTAGAAACCAATCCAATACCAAGGCCAAAATCCAATTCAATACACTGAAACAAAACATTCGAAAACCCTAAAATTCAATACGAAAACAATAATAACACTAGAAACCCCTACATTTATTTGCGCGCATCAAGCTCCAGCGCTTAACCCATTGCCCAAGCCATTGTTTCTCCCCCCCCCAGCGGATATTTCGCACGCCTTCGCCGCGGTCGCCTTCCGCCTTTCATCTTTTCTGGCTGGCCGCGACTCGAGCTTGGATGTTTGCGTCCGCCTGAAGTGGGGGGAGAGCAATTGTCGCTCCCGTAGGATTGACTCGGCGGTGGTGCAGGGCAGGTCGCGCGTTTGGAGGGGAAGATGGCGGCAGATTAGTTCCGAACAAACCAGCACTACTGAGGAGAATCACATTGTCGAGGGAAACTGTTACAACGTAGTCAGGCACAGTTTACCATAGGTGCGACTGCGGCAACTAGCAGCCTTCCGTAGACATAATACAGAAAGAAGAGATGGTACTCAGCAGAGAACATGAGCACAGAGTTGTAGCGGAGATATGTTGGCAGGCGAGACTGTAGTTGTTTTATTGTTCCGAACCCCGAAATTCCGGTACTCGGGCCATTACTCCGGAGACCCTCGGAACCTGCTGTGTTTTTGCTGCTTGTTTTTTGTTTTTGTTTTGTTGTTGAGATGAGACACAAGCGCGCCTTCGCCCCTTGTGCTCACTCTCATCTAGCACCCATCAAAGCCTGACCAGGGAGTCAGTTGATAAGAACATCTATCTGCATTTCTCTTTCCAAAGCTCGCTCGGGCCTACCGATTTCACAGCAGTGTAGACCAACCTCTGTGATAGAGCGGTGACAGCAGTGTAACCTCTGTGGTAGACTACAAAGTCTACGAGCTACAGCGGCACCGCCACCTCCGCTGCTGCAAGACGCCACATTCTGTGACACATACTACCAGCATTACCCCCGGTTCTGCACAGTTGTGATGACTACAGCAGAAAAAGCAAAAAATGAAACACACTTATAAGTCGTCGGACCCTACTTGTGGAATGGTTTGCCTTAAACTACCCATCACTGCGACATTGCCACTCAATAAATAGCTGAACATCATCCTGAAACGAAGGTTGATCAGTCCTCGATCACAAAATAATAATACAGTCGCTGCTCTTGTTCTAACCATAGGGTAATCAATCCTAAGTCAAAACCTTAACATCTTGGAACCGCAATCTCACAACAAAAAGCAACCTCAAGACAATGTATGTATAACAATATTCGGAAATCAGCATTTACTTCGTCAATATTATTGTGGATTTTTAATCTGCAACACGGTGGAGGTACCAATCAATGTTGCACGTCGCTGAGACTTCACACGTTTCTGGCACTCGCTGACAGAACCAAGACATGAACAGTTTTTGACCAGGTTAAAGCTGCTACCCAAAGAGAGTCCAGATTAAAAACGTTCATCACGCAATTATTTTTGATCAGGCTGATAAACTTGCTGCTGCCAAAAAGTAGCTACCAAAGAGAGCCCAGATAAAACGTTGATCACGCTGTTGCCGGGGAGAGAAAGTTGTTCTCAGCACGGCTGTCAGGAAGACAAATCACAAATCCCCGCCAATTACTGCATTGCATTACGCACAATACTATTTCTAATACTATGCTACATACACACATCGTATCGTCAGTTTCGAAACTGGCATCAGTTGTAAGATATACTCGTAGCATAGTAATGTGGTTTAATATGGGACATGGATCTACGGAGATTGCAGTTGGGAGATCGCGGAGGAACAGGGAGTTTCTGCTTGGTTTCTTCGGAGATTTGATGAGTGATCTGAATTGCGTGACGGATAGGTGTGGTGACACACTCTTCGGCTGCTCGGCCTCGAGTGGTCTCTGCCCTTCCCTCTTTCCTCTAATACAGGACTTTCCCATCTCGGCCCTCACTGGCCGAGCTGCCTTTCTCCACAAACCTACAAGCTTCGGCCTACCCGGTTCATCCAAAACGCTAGCATTAACGATTTTGTCGAGGGTGATTGGGCAGCGCCGATGGGCAGCCGCATGCGCGGCTGACGACACCCAACCAGACGAAGAGGCCACCAACGGCGAGGGCCTGCACAGCAGCAGCAACCCCAAGACCTACAGCAGCGCCATCGTCAGCTGCAGCCCGCCGTCTACTTGGGTAGTAGGCCCGCTCAGGCACGTGATGACTTTTCAGTTTCCTACTGGACTGTTGTTGGTATCAACACACCCATTGCGGTGATGCGGTACTCATAGTGCCGTCCGATTCTAAACGCGGCAATACGCCGTGCGGTACTGCCGTCAAACGCCAACGCTAACGCCACCTCCACCTCCACCCGGCACGGCCGTCAAACGCTCTCTCCTACTCTTTCTCTAGTATAATCGCGGCAACACGCTGCGCGGTAATGCCGTCAAACGCCAACGCTTACTCAATCAAAACGCGACAATACGTCGTGCGGTACTGCCGTCAAACTCCACCGCTCGGTCAAAGGCCGACTACCTGTAGCACATGGGTAGACCCAACCTAGGTTACCAGTAATCCTCAAAAACTGATGCCAGTTTCTAAACTGATGATATGATGTGTGCGTGTAGCATGGTATTAGAAATAGTATTGTGCGTAATGAAATGCAGTGATCGGCGAGGTTTTTGCTTTGTCATCCTGACAGCCGTGCTGAGACCAACTTTCTCTCCCCGGCAATAGCGTGATCAACGTTTTATCTGGGCTCTCTTTGGTAGCTACTTATTGAGCAGCAGGTTTAGCCTGGTCAAAAATGCGTGATCAACGTTTTATCTGGACTCTCTCTGGGTAGCAGCTTTAACCTGATCAAAAACTTTTCATGTCTTGGTTATATCACCGAGTACCTTAGACGTGTCAAGTCTCATCGACGTGCAACATTGGAACCTTTTGTTGCAGATGAAAATTCCACAATACAGCAGTAGCACAGACGAAATACTGATTTCCGAAGATTGTTACACTTTGTCTTGAGGTTACTATTGTTGTGAGATTGCCGTTCCAAAATTGTGAAGGTTTTGACGTAGGATTGATTACCCTATGGTTAGAACAGTAGCAGCAGCTTGATTACTATTTTGCAACAGAGGACTAATCAACCTCCGTTTCAGGATGATATTCAGCTATTTGTGGTGTGGCGATATCGCATCGGCAATCAATTTCAGACAAACCATTCCACAAGTAGGGTCCGACGACTTGAACGTGTGTTTCATTTATTGATTTTTCTGCTGCAGTCACTACTGTGCAGAACCGGGGGGAATGTTCATGGTATGTGGTTCTCCTCAGTAGTGCTGGTTTGTTCGGAACTAACCTGCCGCCATCTTTCCCTCCGAACGCGCGACCTGCCCTACACCACCGCCGAGTCAATCCTACGGGAGCGACAATTGTTCTTCCTCCACTTCAGGCGGACGCAAACATCCAAGCTCGAGCCGCGGCCAGCCGGAAAATATGAAAGGAGATAGGCGACCGCGGCGAAGGCGTGCGAAATATCCGCTGGGGGGGGGAGAAACAATGGCTTGGGCAATGGGTTAAGCGCTGGAGCTTGATGCGCCGGCAAATGTAGGGGTTCGAGTGTTATTGTTTTGGTATTGGATTGTGTTGGTTGGATTGGATTTTGGTCTTGGTGTTGAATTGATTTCTAGCATTTGGGTTGTGAACGTTGTTTTGGCATTGGATTTGATTTGTTTTTGGTGTTTCGTCGGGATTTATTTGTAGCAGGTTTGTTTTTCTTGAGTTTCGACTGGATGAATTTTGAATGTTGTTCTTTTGTTCTATGGTTCTGACTCCAACCCAAATCAGGGGGGCGGATCTCCCAGAGCAGGGGGGCACGTTGTTCTTTCGGAAGGAATTCACTGTAGCTGGTGCTAAGTTTCTAGGGAGAAACAGTAAGGAAAATACTCGCTCGCGTATGTTCTGCTCAAATGATCTCAACGCTGAACGAATGTTTGGGGATGGATGTTATTTGATCGGAAGTGTGAGAGTAGAGGATTGGTACCATGCCCAGAAGCGTTTTATCTGCGAAGTGGGCATGAAACGTATACTTTGGTTTGTGTTCGAAAGTTTGTGTATTTTTGGTAGGATTCGTAGTCGGATGAACGTAGTCGGATGCACAACAAAGAAGGCGATTTTCTACGAATTGATCCGTGTTTTGGAAAGAAAATGAAGAGGAGTTCCACAGACAGGTTTGACTCGATAGATTGTTTAAGGCTTTCAGTTGTGCGAGGGACATAAGTACTTTGCGGGTGTCGTTGCGGCGAAGTGCTGAGAAAGGATGGACCAGAGGAAGAGCGTTTTGCAGAGAAGAAATGAAGACGATGGGACAAGACGTTGTGGGTTCAGGAACACTTGCATAATCGAATTCATTCTCGGTTACTTGTTTGTCATGGAGGAGTAGGATCCACGTTTTGGGTCTCATGGAATTATATTGACTTGCCGTGTCATTACGATGCATACGAGCAGGGGGGCTGTAAGATATACTCGTAGCATAGTAATGTGGTTTAATATGGGACATGGATCTACGGAGATTGCAGTTGGTAGATCGCGGAGGAACAGGGAGTTTCTGCTTGGTTTCTTCGGAGATTTGATGAGTGATCTGAATTGCGTGACGGATAGGTGTGGTGACACACTCTTCGGCTGCTCGGCCTCGAGTGGTCTCTGCCCTTCCCTCTTTCCTCTAATACAAGACTTTCCCATCTCGGCCCTCACTGGCCGAGCTGCCTTTCTCCACAAACCTACAAGCTTCGGCCTACCCGGTTTATCCAGCATCAGTTTTTGAGGATTATACTACTGGTTGGAAAGGTTGGGTCTACCCATTTGCTACAGGAAGTCGGCCTTTGACCGAGCGGTGGAGTCTGACGGCAGTACCGCACGACGTAGTGTCGCGTTTTGATTGAGTAAGCGTTAGCGTTTGACGGCAGTACCGCGCAGCGTGTTGCCGCGATCATACCAGAGAAAGAGTTGGAGAGAGTTTTTAAAAGGCAGTGCCGGGTGAAGGTGGAGTTGGAGTAAGCGTTTGCGTTTGACGGCAGTACCGCACGGCGTAATGCCGCGTTTAGGATCTGACGGCACTATGTAGGCGTACCGCATCACCGCATGGGTGTACATAACGACAGCAGTCTAAAACTGACAAGTCATCACGTGCCTGTTCATGCCTACAAGCCCAGTAGACGGCGGGGCTCAACTGACGATGGCGCTGCTGTAGGTCTTGGGGGCGCTTCTGCTGTGCAGGCCCTCGCCGTCGGTGGGCTCTTCTTCTGGTTGGCGCGGCTGACCATCGGTGCCACCCAATCACCCTCGACAAAGTCGTTTTCCGCTAGCGTGTCGGGTAAACCGGATAGGCCGAAGCTTGTAGGTTTAAGGAGAAAGGCAGCTCGGCCAGTGAGGGCCGAGATGAGAAAGTCTTGTATTAGAAGGGAGGGGGGACAGCAGAGATCACTCGTGTCCGAGGACCCGAAGAGAAAGTCACAACACCCATCCGTCACGCAGTTCAGATCACTCATCGAATCTCCAAAGAAACCAAGTCGAAACTCCCTGTTCCTCCGCAATCTACTAATTGCAATCTCCGTGGATCCATGTCCCATATTCAACCATCCTTACTATGCGGCGAGTATATCTGACAAAAAAAAAGCACCCCATTGATCTCAGGGTGGGCGTGATTGTGGCCAATAATCGAAAGCTGCATAGTTTAGAGGCAATATGCATTAATTTTGACAATACAAAGCAAACACACAAAAAACAATCCACCCACGAGGCCCCGAGGGTGCGCCACACTCCTGCCAATGATAAGCCTAAGAGCAGGGCACCCAGCAGCAGCCCACTTTGCCGTTACATCGGTGTCTTCCGTAAACCGGCTACCTATTTTTTGTCGCTGACGAACTCAGCAAAGCCCAAGTGCTTGGATCTTCAATCGTGCCACAACTAAATGTTATAGAGACGGCTACTACATTATGAACGGCATCGAATACGCAAGTCACAGGCGTCCGACTTGACATGTTATCCACCTTCCGAATCAAGTTCACTTGTAGTTCACGCGTGCCGTGGTGCGTGCCCACAGCATTATACACAAAACGAAATAAAACACTGAGGCAACACGATTGTCCGATCCGTGCTGGCGACCATAAAACACTTGGTTACGGGGTACTTCAACTCCCCCATCATTTTCCGTGTTGAGACCCGCGAGCAACAACCGTTGCCCGCTTGCCCAGGTGTTGCTGTATCAGTCGACCTTGATCGCGCTGTAGATCTTGCGGACGAACCTGCACCGCAGACAGAGAGGGTTCAGTATGAGCACGGTAAAAGCGTGGGCCGAACAAATACCAGTCCGCGTCACAGCGTTGATCGCTTCAAATTGCTACTGCAAGAAGTGAGGACGTGCCTGTCATGCACTCGCACCGATGGGTATCGCAGGAAATCATCACAGTGATCACACGAGGTGAGCGTGCACCGATCATTCCAAACTACAGCATGTATCACGACCGATTACGCTCATGCAAGCCAAGGGTATCTACAGGACAACCAGCGTCCATGGCTAACGTCGGTATCATGCTCACCAGAAGCACGCGAAGAATCCGCTGCTGCCCGTCAGCAAGAAGAAGGTTAGTGCAATCACGAGCATGTAGCCGAAGTAGACCGACGTCGACACAAAGCCGCTGATGTCTAGCTTCGAGTAGAAGTACCACACAGAGTACATGAACAGATACCCGGCACTCGACCCCGCCGACAAGAACGCACGCCACCACCTGAGGCCGTCAAGACAATTTACAAGGGGAACATCCACGGACAGGCGATCGTACACGTGAGGAGGTCGTTGACACGTCCGTTTGCCTTGTCAATGGAACTCGTGCCACTGCACCGTGACGACACAGCATCCGGAACGCAAGGGATATAGGCCTCGGCGCTGTATTGTCGAAGGTAATACGCAACAATAGATGGCCAAAGGTGTTGATTTTCCGCCCGAGAATCAGACAACAGTACCTGAGAACCGCAGGAGGGGGTCCAACCCCCCCTCCTGTGTGACCCCGGTTGGGTCGTCTAGCCAGTAGAAGTGGAGGATAGGGGCCAGAGGAGCAGACGACAGAGTCCAATGATGGGAATAAAAAAAAAAAGGTGCCTGAGTAAGGCACCTTTGAGACAGCAGGAACTCGTTCTAAATACCCTGAGAGCGCATTTGAACGGCTCCTCTCAGGATGGCCCGGAAGTGAAGTGTCATCTACATGTAATCGTAGAGCGTTTCGTTCTACGAGTCGTTCCGTCGTCGTATGCTGGAGCGCGCCTGCAGACGTTCTGTATCATGGTCGCTACAATACATGCCTGACGAAACACTCCAACCAGCAGATGACGTCAACCAACAGTATCTTTGAAACATTTGTAATGCAGAAACAAATAATACTCACCAGTGGTAGTCCTCATTACAGAGCTGGAAGTAGCACATCACCATCGTGATTTCCGCACAAGTGGCGATGAGGATGAAGAACACCACGTACAGGAACCCAAACACGTAGTATATCTGATTTAACCGCAGCACGACAAGAAGAAGGAGGCACCCCGCAAGCACAAGGCTGACGTATTTGGTCGAACGCACCGCACCGCAGGTTGTGCACAAGCAGAAACACACGCTAGAGGGGACTTCTCTGATTCAAGTCTATTCCTGAGCTATGGTATTCTACAGAACCTCGAAACTGAGGTATTCGCCAGACAACACAGAGCAAGAAGCAGATGGCATGATCAACTAACCGGCGCGAGAGAGAGCATGAAAGGGGGGTTGGGAAGTGTGGGCGACATGACACGTCCGAACCAAATGAAGGTCAGATTTCCGCATCCAATTATTTTTAGATTGCGGCCGTTTCGCCCACGGCCTGTAGTTGAACAGAACTTACAGACCTGCCGAGCAACCGATCTTCTCTACCAGTACTTAGCACTTCTGTATCACACGAGCCACCAACCTGGTGCAGCCAGAGAGCGCTCATGATGAAGAAGAGCTCGATGCACACCGCGCCGAAAGGCAAGACCCCCCCCAGAGCGATTGCAAACATAGGGTTGGTGTACCACAGCTGCCCCGGCACATGTCTGGACGCACACACGGAGAACACAACCCGCGCCAAGACAAATAACCACAAGACGGCAGCGTCATCGACAGGGTGTCAGTGCTATCGAAAAGGAACGTAGAGCCCTACCAAGGCACTCCTGTTGCCGTACCACTGGTGGACTCATGTCGCGACTTCCGCCCCGCACACGAGGTGCTCTTTCAAGTCATTGGTTCTCGATGGTGTTCAGCTCTACAGACTTGACACGGAGAGATAGGGGGTTGCCCGAGATTTACGAGGGACAACTCGTACAGCATCAAGCGCTATTGTGGTAAAAGCACACAAGACGAAAGTGCGCCCAGCACAACTAGCAGTCACCTGGCGATTTGGTTGACCCTGACGGGAATGGTGTAAGTCTCCGCACGGAAACCGAAGTAGCTCCCCACGAACACCAACGGCGCGCAGACAAAGAACCACAAGAACAGCAGCGACACCGGCAACTTCGATGACGACCCTCGAGACCACACCTTCGCAGAGAGAGGGAGGGGGGTGGGGTAGAGCGCGTGCGTACGGTAAGCGGGCACTTGCATGCCAACACCCACAGCAGCAGCCGAGCACAGTAACGGTGTGCGTCCGAGAGGCAGCGGTGCGATCCACCCACCGCAGCTTCGGTGGGAGCAGCGCGAGACCACCGCTCACAGTCATGGTATTGCGGCATCGATCTTTCGAGGGTGCCTCCTGGTGAACACGTGCTTCGTAGACGACGTCCGAAGGTGGTGTATCACACAAAATGGAATACGGTGTTTCTCGTGCGATGTAACTCGTGCTAACCAACACACACGCGCCCTCGCTCACCATTATGTCGAGAGCCGCGAAGATCGCAAAGATCATTGAGGGGAACAGTAGAGCCGTGGCTAGCGTGCAACGCTTCCACATCTTGCCGTTGAAGAACTTGTACATGGTGGCAGACCAGTAGCCGGCGAAAGACCCCATCAGCACGAAGAGCACCAGCAGCGCCGTCAACATGCCGCCCCTGCGAAGCCGCCAACGGCAACCAATTGAGCAGCGTTAGTTGCCACCTCAAGACTTGTCGTTTCGTTTAGAATCGAAAACAACGCAATTATACCAAAAAGATCCTACAGCACGTTCGAGTGCAAGTTTTCACGTCATTGCTCACCTGTTGGCCGGGCTGAGGAAGCCCAAGAATGCGAAGGTGATGGTCGACAGCGTCATTGCCAACACCTGCATGCCGGTACCACACATGATGGACAGCAGCATGGGGCTGAAGGACGGCGGGCGGAAAACGTCTCCGTGCACGAGTTTCCAGCCGCTCTCCTCCTGAGCGTCCTCAACAGATTGCATCTGTACCGCGCCACGACAAAGCAAAAGCACCGCGCAGGCTTTAGCGAGGGTGTCGTTGGTTAAGCGAGCGAACAGCAGCAGCGAAACCGAATGAGTTGTCATCTCATCTACCCCGGATGTCAAGTTCAATACTCGTTTCGGCGTACTTTGGATATACATGGGCGGGAATCGCACCGGACGAAGGGCAATTAAGACGGTCTGATTTTCTCCACCTTCCTTCTTCTGGTGCTTGCCTTTACTGTCTGTCGCGGAAAGATTCAGCTGTTCCTTTCGCTCGTCGAACGACAACTCGAAACTGGTGTACCCAGGAATTTATGATTTCGTCAACTTGGCTAGGCGTACTGTTGTGAGAAAATACGGTATTTTGGTGTAACTGCACCGAGATCTGACCTCGCGCTCCAATGTGAAGGGGATTGCGAGGTCACCAACTGGACGACCCGCGCGACCAACTGCCACTACACAATACGGCAAAGTTACTCAACAGGATGCACAAACAATGTTAGCATATCTAACACCAAGCCACTATGGGGGTTCTGTGCCCAAAATGATCCATGTCTTGTAGCTGCTAGCCCAGAGAGTAAAGCGACCGCAAGGGGACAGCCGGCGCAAGGATTGGATACCCGTTCCAACCCAATACCTCGTTGTAGTTAGTGATGTCCTTCCTTAGCGTCCTGAGCATGATCATGGCCACCACTCCAGTCAAGAACAGGGTGATCATCAGGGAGTTCACGATGGAAAAGTAGTGGATCTCGTTCTGAGAGTCACCGAACGAGCACAGGAACACGTGATGGGAGACGAGTGAAACACGGGGCAAGGGTTTCGCGTCGTCTGCGCTTGCCTCTCCAGAATCACCCACACACTTCGCCTGTAGCTCGTGGACAGCTGAGCGTTGCACCAACGCGCTGCACAGGAGGCTTCGAGACAACGCGCCAAGGGCTGTCATTGTGCACCCTAACGTCGTTTCGGGTGTCACGTTGCACCTACCAAACATATAACACGCCGTGAACGAGGACGTTGGATCTGCTTCCCGACTTTGGACGGCAGGAAGTGCAACGAAGAAGAAACCATCGTAGTGCTTATATACAGGCCTTCGGCCCCCCCGTCCTCAGGGTTGCGGTGGGGGGATATACTGGATGTACTACTGTAGATGGGAGGGTACAACCACATACCTAAGGTAGACGTCATGACTGACTGCGGGTAGAGTTGTACTCCGCAACATGTAATCGCAGCATGGCCCAGCAAACTGATACGAAGTAGACACATCTCTTCGTAGTAATTATTATTACAAAAGAGGCCCCCGAGTTCCGGCATTTGCACGTGAGCGCTCCGGTGAAAGTGACGCATATATTAGTTACCTCTCTTCAAGTCAAGTCGGCTCTTGCAAGTACTTCGAATAGAATAGGATAATATATGTACGAGAGAACATTGCAGGCCTTTAATACCTTAAAACACCACTGCCCATAACCTCTCAAGACATCACTTCGGACGCTAGCAGGATCCCCCCGAGTATTGCGCTGCTTGTCTGTGCATGAGCCGCTTGTACTTGCTTGACTATTGTCGACTACTTTTGCATCCACTGTTGAACACATCGCACGGTGCCCCACGTACCTCAGGGTTGCCCTTGAGGTAATTTTCCCATCTCCGCGACCAGGTGGTTTTGGGGTCTAGTTCCCACTCAACATCGTACGTGAAGATAACCTTCGCCGACAAAGTGGCACAGACGACAAGGGGAATAGCGACGATGCTCACGAGCAGCAGGACATGTGCGGTGTATTGAATGGTCACGGGTCTATTCAGGGATTGCCCTGGGAATTGAAAAAGCACCCTGTCGTTGCCTTGGAATGTATCACTTGCGAAAACGCACGAGCCGGATACCGTGCTGCGGGATACCGTCCGCACACGGCGGTAACGAGCTCGTTACATCGTGTGATACGAGTGAGAACTCCATCGACGAGGACCAACCCTGTAAAACAGAAATCAAGGAACGCACTATCCCAGCAAATATTGAAACATGAGAGGAAGACACCACTACGAATCGCGCGAATGGAATGCCGTGGTAATACCCACATGTACCCAGGATTGCACAAATGGAACCAAGTTCTCGCCGTTGCACCTCGGAAAACCAGCGGGGATCATAACAAAACAGAACTCGTACACAAGTATGCCGTTCTCGAAGGATCACGGCGTAAAAGCGAGCTACGCGCTCGGTTGTTCCGATACAACACGCACAATCCCAACAACAAGAAAAGGATCGATCAACCACTCCCACCACCACCCACTGCTCACCTCTCCAGCTGCTTCCACCGACTGCCTGTCAATGGGAGGCGCCATGCCCCTCTGTGGACAAGTCTCGAGCTTCTCACCCAATTGGCGGTCTCGCCGTCTGTTGCCTTCTACCGCATCGCCACTCTGCGGTTCCTGCTCGCCACCACCCTCCTTGTGTCTGAAAGTACGGTGGGATGATCGACATCACCACCCACCAGCGACAAGCGCAGAAACGCACCGCGGGTAGGTCAGCTGGGTCAAACCAATCCACCAAAGCAAAACCTGCAGAAACCTCAACGTCATAAATACGTGCCATGACACTCGTCGTGGAATGAAGAAAAGAATGAACGTGAAAGGTGCTCATGGTACGGCCACGGTCGTCGGATGTCTCTCCCGAAACCACGAAACCATCATATTAGACTCCCCCTGTTCTTCCCGCTTGTGACAGCCCCACAGTCGCGACGTGTTGACGCGTTTCGATTGCGGTGCTTTCCGCACTCACGTTTCTTCCCAACGGTGGGCGATGGAGTACGGGATCACCTCAAACCCGACCACGCGCTTCCCCTGGAAGTGGTCTGCCTCGTGGTATTTGACGATGAACGCCAAGTGGTTGTACAGGAAGTGGTCCTCGCCCTCCTGGTACCCCACTGGGAAGCCATGAGTCGGCGTCTGCCCTCTGTCATGGGCACCAAGCGCGAGTTCTTGCAGTTTGAATTGATGCCGTCCGCCATGAAACAACCTTCTCAACTTAACGATGTTACACAGGTGGAAGCACCTAAAACAAACCTCTCTCAGTCGGCAGGTCGAGCACTCGCCAAACTACTCATCACCATACGCAAGCCTTGAGTTCACCGGCACGAAAGGACTGGTACAACAACTAAGGCTAGCACACCGCAGTGCCATACTATACGTGTACGTGTCTGGGTGAGTACGTGCGCTCTTCTTGTTGGCAGGAGGGCGGGCTCACCTGTCATCGCGGACGATGGCGACTGGGAGATTATCCAGCTGCATGTGCACCCTGTAATCGTTGCCAATCAACGATCGGAGTTGTTTCATGTCGCCCTGTTCCGCCACGCCATGCCGCGGGACGACGAGACAGAGAACCCAAGACGGAGACGCTCAGCATGATAAACAACTTTCGCAAAACATAGCGTCTGTAAATGTAGTCATTAGGCAAAGCAGGACGGTCCGTGCAAACACCACCCTCGCTCGGCAAGGAGGCCTTTTCTTCCTATTGGTTCGGCCCCGAGTTTTGACAACGGTCAACAACACGCGTGTGCATCAACACCTTCCGACCGGTCGAGGAGCCAGCAGGCAAGGGGCAATCAGTTCCCACCCTCCAGTCGTTCGTGGTACGCTCCACTGCAATGTATGGTGCACTGGTACATCTGGGAAGGAATGCTGACAGCGGACAGGTCGTATATGCACAGCATCAGCTACCATGGTGCACCCCGAAAGCGTTGCCCAGTTTTAGTCAAGTCCGACTGCCAGCTGTCCTAGCCACAGCCGCTGCAAGTGGAACACATACACTTCGCGACTCACATCGCTCATTTGTTGATGGCACAGGACGGAGCAGTAGGCGTTTTGGGCCATCTCCAGCACATAGGGTGACGACGAGATCTTGTCCCCCATGAGCACCTGCAGATGCCATTTACCGCAGTACCGCCACAATTCACCAACGATCGCCCCAGGCCAATTGTCATTTGATACTATGGGGTTGAGTTTTCGATCTAAGATCGTGTAAAAAAACTCGCAGGGGAGGCCCTCTCTAATTTTTCGACATGAACAGACCATAAAACTCGCTTCTGGTGGTGTTGAGGTCATGCGGGCAGATTGCAAAAGCAAGAGCGATGCGCTCAGGAACAAGCACGTGTGTTGGAACTCTGTGGTGTTGCTCAACCCGCCAGGGAAAAAGAATACTCCGGTCTCGACGCACCAGACGGCTGCCTGTCGCCTACTGTAGTTCCTCCGACGACAGCGTGAACTTTCTCAGACTCTGATGAAAAGGAAAGGTATGTACCCTTTTCAACCTGAACACCCGTGATTTGCCGTGATGCCACACAGCAGAGATTCTGATACTTACCTCCCCTAGATTCTCTGCCTCCTTGGTGATCTTGCTAGGTCGGCAGTAGGGCGCGCGGTAGTAGTCGAACGGGATCTGAGTCTTCGTGGACGTCAGCAACACCACCTGCAGCTCAACCTGGGACACCATCAGAAGTGAATGCGACATGCATACAAAGACCGAGTAGATGAGGTATGAGGACGAGGAGCCACATTCAAACAACGCTGCTCTATGGACGTGCACATTTTTCAGGGGAAAAACGGGCTGTTCACGTCTACGTTTTACCCAATCTGGGATAAGCGAGGCGAAACAGCTGATTAACCGTGGGCTAAGTAGGCACCATGTCATGGCTGTACGTACTGAGAATTCAGTACGTTCGTTCCCGCACCCAGACTAACAAAATGGAGCCAATGTTGGCGTAGCGTACATGCTGCCGTAGGAATGTTCTTACAAGGTTATTGCAACAGCAGCATGCCCCCCGTCATAGAATATCGGGAGCATAACACCCCGTTGTGTCTTGTGATAGTTAAGCTCCTTCTCGGCAAGAGCACCCCACAACATCAGTCCTTTTGTGCCGTGTGGTTTGCTGCAGCGTTGCGGCAAGCGCGTTGTTTTCAATGTGCCGCAGCAGTTCCGAACCACGAACACACCTGGGTGCTGCTACATACCTAGCAAAACATTCACAGCTGGCTTGGCTGATGTCCTTTCACCAGGAGAAGAAAACTGCAAGACACACACTCAAAACCGGCGCGTCAGCACCTGCTATCAATACGAACATCAGGCAACCCCCACGTTTTGCACACCTGCAACGCGTTCTGCGCACAAGCACCCGACGTATCTACACACCTTCTCTCCGTTGCTGAAGGAGTTCGGCGCCTTGCCAGGCAAGTAAAAGGCATCCGTTCTGCCTACCGCAGCCAGAAGTAATCCCGCCGCACAAGCCAACCCCCATCGGTGCGCCATGGTGGAGTACCTCTATTGCACACCACTTAGCTTGCGACGATCTTGTCACACCAAGGCGCTCGTAATCCTCTCCTAGCTGTGGAATATCACCATTGTGATACCCCCCACCGAGCGTAGCGTCGGAAGGGGGGGACTCCAACCCGGCATACAACGGGGGTTGGTGTCTGTGACATATCCGGGGGCACGACAACAACCCCCGCACCGCGCACGCACACACTTAGTGAGTGCGCAGGCTGGTGCGGTCCGTCGGTGCTTCTGCAGCGCAAGACCGTCACTGAGGAGGTGAGATACACGATAGCAAATGGTCATCAGCAATGCACACGTTTCGGCCTGCGAATCATTCCGCCTCTACAGCAGCAGCTTCACGCCTCGTCACCCTCCCGCACTACTCTCGAGAATACCAAACTCCCTCATTCTCTCACACGCACACCTGCCATGAACATGGGCAGCACGTAGCGAACCTGTTGGTCCGCTAGCTGCCTGTGCTGGGGCTTGTGCTGTAGCTCCGAGCATAGTTAGTACGGGCACAAGCAGTAGAGTACGGCCGTTGTGCTGATGCAACTAGCTCCCATTGAAGTAGCTCCCGCGGGTGAACCAGTTTTCAGCAGCAAGAAGGAAACATCCGTCCCGGAGATTCAATTCGAAGGTGGTGTACGTGCTCAAGAAGTTATGTTATGAAGTATTTGGGCGTTGAAGTGCTAACCGGCAAGCGCGCATTGTCCGTCCAAGCGGGAAAGCGAAGAAAGGGGCGTGGAGGTGGATTCGATTGTGCATTTAGCTGATTATAACAGCGCGTTGCTGTATTCCTCCGTAACATGCCGCACCCCTTTCATTTCAAATCGTTGTCGTGCAGCATACAAACCTTTACCTTTCCCTTCTCTCCGCTCAGCCTGGCTCCTACAGAACTACGGCGGACTTGATCGTGCACTGGCTCACGCCTACGCTTCACTGAATCAAGTAGTCAAGGTTCTTGGTGCTGAGGCAGGCGGGAAGCCGGTCGACAGGGCTGTCGAGGTGTTGTCGCTGCTAGCAGGATGGGATGTTGCTCCTCACAACCCGCCCAGCAGCCCTCTGGGGGCTTCCCTACTCCGTTGCCGGCGCCCATGCAAGACAACGTGAGTCATCTACCTCTACCTACATAGTTCTGTTGCACTCAGCTTTATGCGAAGACGTGGGTGTTAGATTGCAACGCATGTACTCAGGTATCAATGCTGTACGATACGTAGCTGACGGGCGTGAAGGTTGGCTTTGAAATCTCGCCGTGTCGCCTTGTTGGTATCCGTGGAAGATTCACTAACCGCTGGTATCGCGGTTGGAGTAGTCTATGCCATGAATCAAGAGGGGCATGCGGTGCTGAAGTTGACGTCACTTCCAGAGCAGCAGCAGCACGCATTGTTTTCTCCCTGCTGACAGACCTCTTTGTAGAGCTATTTTCGACAAGCTCACAGCCTTCCTAGGCTACTCTGATTTCCTGTGCTGTTTAACACAAATGTACTTCGTGGTTTGGCGTTCGTTATATCAGATAATTGTTTTCTCTGTTCCTTATGAGGGCACATTTTCCTCCAAACACAGCAGCAGTCGGTGGTACAAGCGCTGCTCACAGAAGGATGCCTACGCCATTGTCCATTTCGGGGCTCTCCGCCTGCTCTAGGCAAACTGCCTGCAATGCATCAAACATGCGACTCTACAGGCTTGAAACTGGTGGAATACACTCCAAACCGGCTTTCCCCGTTTGAGTCCTACCCCACGGATAATATTTCCACTCGTATCGCACATCTCTTAACACCACGATTACACGTGTATTGGAATGTGCACTTCGTATATTCACTACCAGACATCGACAGCAAAGCGGCCTACCCATGAAAAGACGTCAGTCTTACAACGGGACTATCATAGGTAGAAACGCGAGTTCGCGTTCAAGGTGTGCGTATTGCGTGTCTAGGGCCGTCGGCACGTTGGCTGGCGTTTAACTTGTCCGCCGCCTTTGGATTCCAGCAACTATCCTTGCAACGTACCAATCGTTCTGACGACGTGCGCTGTCAACCCGCTGCCCAGATGAATGAGCTGCTCAACCGGTGGCGCCACGGCGAGGTGAACCTCCTGCAAAGGAGTTTCCGGTTGGCGAGGGCACAGACCGTGAAGCATACCATCGCGTCAAAGATGTTCGGCAGCCTGGCGGCGCCTTCCTCCAACTCGGGCACGGCAACGTCGGCCGCCACCAGCGCTAACCGCGACAGGAGTGCCAGCTTCGGGGAAGATGGGAGCGCCTCGCCAGCGTCGCGTGACGGAGCAGCGACAGCGAAAGCAGAGTTGGACGGCAAGAAGCCGGGAGACGGTGCCACGGGAGGTCCGCTCAAGGTTGGGGCGGGAAGCGGCGAGGGCGGGCAGGTGGTGTCTTTGGGGGACGCCGGCGGTGCGCGTGTCGGCATGGACAAAGAGGCGTTTTTGAGGGTCTTCCCTGACGTGCAGGTGCGAATAGGGTCAAGGTTGTGCGACGTCTGCGGCAGTGCAGCTTTGGCTTGATTTGTCAGAGCATCTTGCAGGTCGTTACTTGCTGCATGCCTGTGTGATTCCACAGGTGCCAGACAAATGTATTGCCTACCTTCTTCTGATGTTCCACCGAAAACGTACCACACTTGATTTTCCGTTCTCTAGGGGCTACCGGTGGAGGTTCAAAGGTCGGCTTTCCTGCTGTTCGACTGCGTCGGACGAGGCTCCTTGGACTTTCGGAACTTCTGTCGCGCCCTTGCGCTGTGCTGCCGAGGCTCAAGAGAAGAACGCCTACGGTTTTTGTTTGACCTTTTCTCCGGGGCCTCCCAACCTAAGCACTACGGTACAGGGGCGGACGGAGGAGCTCGAGATGCGAGTTCCGCTTCCGGTGCAACCACCGCGCGCCTGTCGGATGTACGTGCAGGAGGGCATGCGAGCTTAACGCGTGCTGTGTTGATTGTTGTGTAGGCGTCGCAGAGGCATATCTTGCGCGAATGACATATTTTCACAAGTCGTACCTCTGGGACTCCCCCTCTCCTCTCACCTGGTTCTTGGACACGAACCACCTCTCCTCCATGTAACAGGCGGAAGTTGTTGGCCTCAAGAAACAGTTAGGGCTATCTGCCGGGGACGCGAACCACGTGCACTTCCAGAAGGCCTCTGGAGTTTCCGGGCTGCTGCTGTCCGAGTATTTCGAGTGGGCAGAGGTGCGATAGTTTGTGTAGTATGTAGTAACAGCGACTTGAAATGGTTTTATTTGCCGAGCGCGGGCTACTTTCTCGGCGCGTTCACGTTCTCAGAACGACGAGGTTCTACGTTGTTTTGTCCTCATCGGCGTGAGTCCGATCCTTGTCTTACACAGACTTACCTGGGATTATGAGGTTGCCTAGTATTTGATGAGGCTCTAGACTTGAGACATCCGACGCCCACTTATTGATAGATCTCAGCACTGCTTTTGATGTGATGATTCGTACTCGCCAAGTATCGGCCAAAGTTGAGCCGGAAATGGCACGTGCGCGTGCTTTTTCAAAGCAGGCAACATTTGAGGACTCGATATGCAAAGTGCACACTTCGTCCACAAGAACACAGCAGAGCAGCCTTTTTCTGACGACGCCTCCCTCGTGCACCAATCTACACTTACACTTTCACTTCCCGTTGCCCTTCTACGCCCTCGTGTAGCTTCATGCGTCCGACGAGGCGCTGGACCGCGCCCTCCGGCCGTTCTATCTTCTGCCCTCGCCACAGCAGGAGAAGGACAAGGTATGCAGTGCTTCTACACGGCTTGTTAGCTCCTTGGTACTGGAGACGTCTTGAGCGAGTACTGGCTCGGCGGTGTTGCACGTTCGACGTGAGGGAGTTTGCCTCAGGGGCTCTCCGTGGGTCAAAATTATGTTTGGTCGGACGCAGCTTCCTCTCGCGGTGCTGAAGGTAGTTAGTGCCACGGAGAGAACCTGATCCGAGGGTCATCGGGCATTTATCACGATCCATTCGCATCCCTTTCGTACTTCTTTCAAGATGCGCCACACATCCGGTTTTTCTTGCCACTGGATTGTTGCAAGTGCTTTTCTCTTGTAATAATGGTTTGTGGGCGTACTTTCCACACACGTTGCAGGTGCTGACACATCTGTTGGAATACGCCATCGAAGAGGGCCAGTGCATGTGCTTAGTGGCTTCGCCATGGTGGTCGTACTGGTCCAACTACGCTGCCCTCACCAAGGAAGACGTGCTACGCGTGCCGGAGCGAACGGCTTTAGGGTTGGACAAGACCCAAGGATACTTGGAAAGGCCCGGAGATGAGCCTGCTGTGACGCTGGGGGCAGAGGGGGCAGGCGTCGCAGTACGTCCTGGGGATGTCGTGGGCGATGGGGTTGCTTCTATGGGCGTGGGTAACGGGAACGGGCACGCTCAAAGAGAATCGCCAGCGATGGAGAGGTTAGAGGGAGCAGGCAAAGAAAGAGCAGTGCCGACCACGCTTGCCCGGCGACCACACGAAATAGACAACAGTAGCTTGCAGGTGAGGCGTGGGTCTGTTCGTGAGGCTTAGTGGCTTATTCAGGTGTTCTTTGCTTTTGTGCAGTGCGCTGGAGAGATGAACTAAGACGGGGTCCGAAATATCGAAATACCTTGTACGCGTTGGCGCCGTGGCGAGTTCGTAGGTTACGGTCAGAGGAACGCTGTCAGCCGATTTAGTTCCAGTGTTGAAAAAGAAAGCCAAGAGGCGCCCCCGGAAAATATCTGTATCGTTTCGTAGATACTGCTTGAACTTCATGGCATCTGCTTTGAGCGGCAGATTGTTACGGTCCTTGACTGAGAACCCTCCAACCTGAACCACTGTTTCTCAAGACGTGCTGGCTAGCTTTGACTTGCAAACTTTCTGCGTTGAATTTCTTCCGCAATCCTCACCAAGTCCCTTACCCACATACCCTGCCCACATTGCCATGTGTCTTGTGCTGGTGAATCTCACAACGTGTAATGCAACGCACCATCTGGCGCAAATGAAACACCAATCGCACAGGGTGGAGCTGAGTGGGAAGTTGCTCCAAACCTAGACCTTGGCGAGGACTACGTCATGTTGCCGAAGTCGCTGTGGGATG